AATAGATAGGAAGCTATTTATTTGTACATGCATGCTATTTCTCCAAAAGAATTTGTTTCTGGGGGCCAAAGGCTGTGCTGTTTTCATCTTTGCATCTCTAGTCTTACTACAATGCCTGGCACACAATAGGTACTTAATAAACACTTGTTGATTTGGTTTGCTTTTACTTTGGTCTAAGGCAATTACAAGGAACCTAAAGGGGTGCATCCTAGAAAGAAGGCCCTGGTTTTACTTACAATGTAGGAATATTTTCTGTGGTACTACCATGAAATAAGGATATGTGGCATATGTGTGTGTGTATATGTGGCATCCCTTTCTCCTTTCATTTTTTTAATCATAGTTTATATCATAGTGGCCTAAATACAGGACATATTTCCCTCTCAAAATCCAACCTGTACAAAAAACCTGAACGCAGTGTGAGTTCAATGAATACCTACACATTTTATCCTTTCAAACATTTCTCATTTTAGTGGTGGAACATAAACTTGGGAGCAGCATCTATTTAGACCAATATGACTGTTATTTATGCTTATGTTTTATTTCTCCTACTAGCTTGTTAATTCGTTAAGGACAGGGAACGTCTTAGTCATTTTTGGATCCCCTCAATGCCTAGCACAATGCCTAGTACAGAGTAGGTACTCAGTAAATGTTTTATGAATGAAAGAATGAATGACTCTCTGCTATAAACAACACAGGCTTGAGGCAGCCCAGTTCTGGCAAAAATCACACCATGGCTCTGCTTCAAGGTCACTTCCCACAATGCCCCCCTCCGCCCCGGCATATTAACAATAACTGCACTCAGATGCAAAGGTCAGTAACATTTCAATCTCTCTGCTGTGAGCCTGAGTTTCCTCATCTATAAAATGAAAAAGGTTGGACTGAATGATCTCTAAGGTCCCTCCCAGTCTTAAATGTTCTGATTCCTTGTAAATCCAAAGAGCCAAAGGAAAAGAATTTGGGGGCATGAAGAACCACCAGATGGCAGCATGAGAACAGAGATTTTAACGAATTTGAGGAGAAATTTTGCTTCTTTTTTTTTTTTGGCCTGGTTTTAAGACATAGAGAATGAGCTGGGATTACCTATAATGGCCAAAGTGTACGTATGGGTCTGTATTTGTGGGGGGGGGCGCGGGAATCCAGCATTTAACCCAGCCATTTTCTATAGCATTCACTGCTTGTAAAGTAGTATAGTCAGGAAAAGGCTAGCAATGAGGAATGGGAGTGGGATGGGGGAAGGGAAAGGAAAAGAAGGGAAGGGAAGAAAAGGGGAGGGAAAAAATTGAGAAGAGAAGGGAGTTGGGAAGGGCAAGGAAAAGGGAAGGGGAAGGAGAGGAGAAGGAGAAGAACAAGAGAGGGAAGGGCAAGGCAAGGCAAGGCAAGGGAACAACATATGTGGAAGGGGCCCTTGAAGGAAACGCCAGCTTTTTAGAAGAAAAGATTCCTCTTCATAGCATCCTGACAGGCTCAGTACATGAGATTGGAAGGGAGGCAAGAGGTGACACACAGAGGCCTTTGCTTTCCTTGTCGCATCTCTGCATTCAATCATCAGATTGAATACCAGGGCTTTGGCACATGGTCTGGCACCCAGGAGGTGCTTAACATTTACTAATTCATCAAGTTGAAGGGCAAAATTTTGGGGGGTTGGCTCTGACACTCCACTGGGCAGCTAGGTGGCACACTGGACAAAGCGCCAGGCCTGAAGTCAGGAAGACTCATCTTCATCAATTTAAATCTGACCTCAGATATTTACTAGCTGTGTGACCTTGGAGCAAGTCACTTAACCCTGTTTGCCTCCATTTCCTCATCTGTAAAATGAGCTAGAGAAGGAAATGGTGAACCACTACAGTATCTTTGCCAAGAAAACTCTAAAATGGGGTCATAGAGAATTGGATACAACAAAAAACAATTAAACAGCAACTGATGCTTATGAGTCAGGTAAACGTGGGCAAGTCGCATGATTTCTTTCAATTTCTGTAAGTGTTCAATGGTTCTAATATTTGTTATTATGAGAAAAGGGTTTTGTAGACCTTAAGCCACCATAGAAATAGTAGCTGTTGTTAGGATACAGGGTCCATCATGATGGTACCTTTTCTTTTTCCTTCAAATTTTTAAGAAGACACGAAAAAGCTCAATGAAGACAGGAGATAGAACTCCTAGACCAAAGTGGAAGGCCCTGCCCTTGCTCCAAAGGCATTTTAAAAATAAAGAATCTGTCCTGTGACTACATCAACAGTCCTGTATTTCACGGAAGGAGAGAAGATATAGGATAATTCATTTTTCTTTCCTTTTTTTTTTAATGACTGCCCAATGCAGCTCCAAACTCCTGAGCTAAAGAGATGTGCCAGCCTTAGCTCCCCAGCAGCTGGGATTTCAGTCATGTACCAACATGCTCAGTGTGGCAACCCTTCCCTCCTGCCTTTCCTGCAGCTTCTTCCCTCGCCTCACTTCCCCCTACCTGCACTTTAGATTTATCTGCCTCTCAGGTCTAAGAACTTTCACTTTACAAAAATTTTCGATCTCAGATCCAAATGTAATTGTGTTAGAGACTGATTAGTGGTGGGCACCTCAAAACTGGCTGGCAGAGTTGTAGCTCTGAATGCGCTGGTGTGTCAATTAACCTACAAATCCAGATGTCCTCCAATTTGCAATTAATTTTCAAAGGAGTTGTCATTTGACCCTCAGTCTGCCTCTGCCTAGAGCCCTGCGTTAATCACTTCTCTCCTCCATGCCTCTTGGGTCTTGGAACCTCCGCTCACTAAAGGCCAATAAATCTCCCAGTTGGCCTTTTTGTGTTGTTGCTGTCAATGGATCATCCGGAAATGCACCGCAATTTTCTCGTGCCCTAAGGTGCCACTTTTTAATATGGCGTGTACTGGTTACAAATAAGGCATTAAAGTTTACTGAAAATAAAAAGGTAAAAAGAGCCCTGGGAACCCAGAAATGAAGTTTGAAATGCCTTAGCCAATCACCATACGGCTGCTTAGGACATTCATTCTGGCAAACCTGCCCCGTGCTGAGTGCTCGAGGATGCTGAAGCTTCTTGATTGCTAGCTGGTTACTATGGATTCCAATTCTGAGATATTTAGTAAGCAGTTTTCATCCAATCTTCTCTTAGTGAGAAAGCAGTTTTCATCCAATCTTCTCTTGGTGTCACATAAAGAAGTAAAAGTATTCACTTCCTACTTCTATTATGAATGAGCTGTGTGACCTTGGGCAATTCATTTCAGTATCTGGGCCTCAGGGGCTTAATCTGTAAAATCAGAGGGCTGAACTAGGAGTATGCCCTCAAAAGCCACTGACAGCTCTGGCATTCCTTGTCATAAAATACTCATGGAGGCTCGAGACCCTCTGACTGTAAGGAGGCAGATAGGTGGCACAGTTGTCTTATAATTGGTAGATATTATTATTATCATCATCATTATTTGCTCCTCTGCTAGGTTAGCATGGAATAGTTGTAGAAGAAAGATCAGAATTTAATTGATGTTACTGATTTTTATTGGCTATGTGAACCATTGTAAAATCACTGCATCTCTCTGGGCCTCAGTTTCCTCATCTGTAAAATGAAAGGGTCAGATTAGATGACTATTCCAGTTCTGTATCTATAATCTAAAGATCCTAAATCACTTCACCTCAGTTTTCTCATCTGTAAACTGAGGAGGACTTGGACTAGATGGTCTCTGGCCCTCCTGGCTCTGAATCCATGATCCTATGATTCTCATTTAAAATGGTGATTGCTATGAACATTTGACCTCCCTACCTCACAAGGTTATTGTGAGAACACTCAACAGGACTTACAGATGTAGATTATTGTTCTTGTTTTAGATGCTGGGTGGGTTCGAGGATAGCAACAGAACTTCACTGGCTGATGGAAACTTTCTGAGAGATCATTTTCATGTAGAAACCAAGCTCTTGCTGCAATTCTGCTCACTGGTACCTACACGACCTTGAACAAATTACTTAACTTTTGTGGTTTTCTTTGTTGTTGTTTAACACAGTAGTGTCCTACACTTTGTGACCCCATGTGGGGTTTTCTTGGCAAAGATAGTGGAGTGGTTTGCCATTTCCTTCTCCAGCTCATTTTATAGATGAGGAAACTGAGGCAAACAGGGTTAAGTGACTTGCCATTTCCTTTTCTAGCTCATTTTACATATGGGGAAACTGAGGCAAACAGGGTTTAAGTGACCTGTACAGGGTCACACAGCTAATTAGTGTATGAGGCCAGATTTGAACTCATAAATACAAGTTTTCTTGACTTCAGGCCCAGCTCTCTATCCACCACAGCGCCACCTAGCTGCCCAATTTTATTAAAAAACAAAACAAAACAGTTTTATGGTTGTCATGAATATCATAGTCATTTCCTCTTCATTGTGACTTCCAGATTGAATGCTCCACTGTACAGCAGCAATAGCAGCAGTAGCAGCAACAGCAGCAGCAGATCTAAGCAAAGTCAAATCATCAGAGCAACCCTGTCTGCCCATACATTCCACATTCCCGTGTATATCATCCCACCTCTCTACAGAGAGGAGGGAGGTGTCTAGGAGTCTTCTTTAAATAATTTGGCACAATGGAGGATTAAGCAAAATCACTTCTGCCCGTTTCCAAATTTTGAATGTTTGAGCCAAAAAAAAAGGACAGTTTTGAAAAAAGTTCTTTTTTCATAAAATTTCTCTGATGAAACATATTGCATTTGTGACGATGGTGAACTGATGAGCACAGCTGTAATTAGGATGACGCAACTGGGACTTTTTCCCAGGCCACTGAAATTTAGTGGACACAAAAATTTAATCATACTTTCTTTTCAGTTGTATACAAGCAACTACAGCAATCTCCTCTCCCACTAAACTGAATTTGCCATAACTTATTGAATTATTTTTACATCATTAATTCCAATTTCGATTTAAGGTTTCACAGTTATGGATCTGATCGCAAAGCTACATTCTGAAGAGGCTGAATTCTTAAAAAAAATAAAAACACAACCCAAAAACTTGTTTAAAACTTGGAATATTCTTATTACCTCTTCACAAAGGCACACAAACGCTACATCAATTTTAGGGGCTATATAATTTTATATAGGGGATATATAATTCAATGGCATTATACGAAAACTTGGATGAATAATTTTAATTCATTAAAAAGAATTCCAATTTTTATCCTCTCTTTGGCCTGTCCCTTACAAGAGAATTCTCATTTTATCCAAATATGTTAGGCTGGTACCAAAGGAAATTTGAAATATCAATCAAATGAAGACTAAGTGATAGAGTCTAGTCTATAGATCACAAAGAATAGTGGCGATGAGGATCATTTGAAAGCAATTCTCTTAAAATCCCAAATGATGGGAATCACATTCCCCAGGAAACAGCAGAATTACAGCTTGTGTAAGGCTGGAAGTGACCAGAAAAATGACTCTTCATTAACACATAAGGTGCAGTAGCTATGTGATAAATGGCCTTGTATAGCCTCCCATACATTAACATAAAAGATGTATTTCTTCTACTGACTAATCATAATAAACCAGTGCTAAATTTCAGTAGTGTGGCCTGAGAAATGCTTTCAATGAGGACCATTGATAAAACTCTTAACATTCAAAGGAGAACCTTTCCTCGCTTTGGATCAGACATCGTTTAAATTGTTTTTCTGGGGATTTTATTATGAAGATATGCTTAATACAATCTCATCTAGCCTTTGTCTTTAATTACATTAATTATTAATATCACATTTATTATACATACAGCTTCACTATTTGCTCCTTTTAATTGAATGTGGAGTTGAACTCTGGTAAAGGACCTGCCAATGGCAAGAGCTTTTTAAAAATGATCGTTATTAGGCTGACTACCATATTATACCAAATACTGGAAACATTTTCCCATCAAATTAGTTTAGACAAAATCTGGTCTTGTCCATAATTCCTTCTCTTTTTTCCTAAGATATTTATATATTGGATCTTTTAAAAGGCACCTCAGTTTAGGAGTAGAGACAACATATCAATCAGTCAATTAAGCAAGCAAAGAATCCCAAACTATTTGGTGCCCAAAAACTTCATTCAGCAGGACACTAAATAAGCAGAAGCTGTATTCAGGAAGTGCCTTACATTCAGAAGAGACAATTTTTTCTATGGTCAAAAGGCTATACCTTTATTCAAGCCCAATGCCCTCCAACCCCCCCCCAATGCCAACACTCACCATAACTTTTTGACTATTTTTTCCTCTTCGTGAAGGTACTTCTGCCTCTCTTGCTCCACCAGGTGGCGCTGCCGCTGCACAGGATCCTCAAGCCTCTTCAGGGTTTCAATCACTTTGCCATTGATTTCCTGCTCAGCCTTCTTCATCATAGCCCTCAGCAACTCCTGATTCTGCAGCTGTTTCACAAAAGAAATCAAGTTCAATTTTCCCTGCCTGGCTAACATCTCTGGCAACTGAAAGCTTTGCAAGTTCTCAGGAGCAGGTTTAGATAAACATGCCTGCAGCTGATGATTTAGCTCAGATGAGTCTGAGCTGAGGCTGAGCTCCTTCTTACCCAAATCTGGCTTAAGTGCAACTCATTATGTGTATGTGTCCATGTGTTGTATACGTGTGTGTATGCATATTGAAAACCAGTTAATTTTCAATTAAATACATACATATGTATATGTATGTATATGTATACGTATATATACAAATATAAATGTGTATATATATTCAAATATGTTTGATGAATATGGTATTTAGTTTACTGAGGAGGATAAATTGCATTCTATGGTCACTGCAATCTTGCGTGTGAGTTTCAGAAGGAAACTGACAAATAGAATTTTATGCTCCTATATTCTGTGTGTAGCTCTCACATGACTCTGCCGTTTGGAAGAAACTGAGTACCTTCCCTTCTGACTGCATCATATCCAATGTATACAAAATGTTACCGATAGCTTTCTTGTCACTGCTACAGAATAGCTCAAACTGAGGAGAAGTGATTTCTCATGTTCTGCTTATGGCACAGCTTAGCCCACCTCAAGGCACACACTCATCAATGTGTGAAACAGCAATTCAGGATTATCATCATTATCAACCTTTGGTGGCAAAAGGGCTCTAAATCTGCTTGCGAATTAGGTGCTAACACAGTATTTTCACATCAACTACTCATACTTAATTCTGTCCATACAGTTTTCATATGATTGTGTGACTGCCCTCTCCTTAGGTAGTTAGTTAAAGGTCCACCTGCTTAGAGTTGCCAAGACTTGTGGATTCTGCTTCGACGACATCTCTTAAAACCACCTCCATTCTCTCTATCACCCTAGTTCAGGTCATCATTACTTGTCTCCTGAACTATTGCAATACTTTCCTCATTGGTTTCCCTGAACTCAGTCTCCACCCCTCCTCCCCGCCCCCTTTCCAATCCATCCTCTACATAGCTGTTAGATTTAATCCTGAGACCATGTTTCTGTCTTGCTCTAAAATCTTCAGCTGCTCCCCATTGCCTCCAGGACTGAATACAACCTCCCCCGTTTGGCATTTAAAGCTTTTTCTATGAGACTCCAGCCTACTTTGCTGTTCCTATCATTTGGAACTCCTCTTTACACCCTTTATAATTTGACCAAACTGTCCTCTCTGCTGCTACACCTCAAACAAGATTCCGTCTCCTTTTTACATGCTTTTGCACAGGCACAAGACCTTTCCTGAACCCCAGTTGTTGGTGCCTCACCCCCCAAATTACCTTGTTTGTGCGCTGTGTGTGTGCGTGTGTGTGTGTGTGTGTGTGTGTGTACATGCTGTTATTTGATAGAATGTACGCTTCTCAAGGGAAGGGATTGTTTCACTTTTTGCCTTTGTATTCCCAGAACTTAGTACAATGACTGGTACATGGAAGGCTTTTGATAACAGCAATACTGGCTGGCTGATTGGTTGGTAGACTCCAGACAGAAAACCTGCATTGAGCCATTACCCATTAAGCTTGATACTGACAACATTCCATTTCTGGGACACACGTTTCAGATATACTTGGCCACTTGCATAGAATTCTCTGCTTTGTAGATGTGTCCAAACTTTGTGTTTGCCATGTACCTTGCAATTTTTGACAATTCATCCATCAAGTCAATTCATTTACTCTGCCTTCAACACAATCATTATAGTCTACCTATCTAATGTTTCCCTGAAATTTCAATTAACTATTACTGTCTTGCTTGTTCTCTGGGATAACTACTATTCGCCATTCCATTTCACAGCTGCCATATTTCATCTCAGAGCTGGTGATAAAGACAGATTTGTCAGTGGTCCAGGGTGCAAATGGATGCCTGGAAAAAAACCTAATGGTGGATAATCCAGATATCATTTGCATTTGGTTTTGGAATACTGATGCTCTGATTCAGGTTAGATACCTACACAGCATTTCCTATCCTTATAGGTCTCCCTTTGTTGATGGTGATGGATAAGCTTAGCAGCAGGACAGAAGCAGCAGAAGGTGCCCAATATCCACTTGTGGTATGTCAGGAACTCTAGTCATGGATTTAGAGCTACACAGGACCTTAGAGGTCATCTAGTTCAACAGTCTTATTTCACAGAGAAGGAACCTGAAGCCCAAAAGGGTTAAGTGACTTGTCCAACCTCACACAGGTAGCAGCGAGTGATAGAAGTGGCATCTGAAATCTGCTTCCCAACCCCTAATCCTGTGGCCCTTTGTAATGTACTCTGCTGACTGTATGGGATATTTCAGTGTAGGACCTGAAGCTTATCTAACTGTTAAATTTCATCCTTCCACAGGAGAAAGAAGCAGTAGAAAGAAGGCTGACTCTGAGGGTTAGGTTCAGATCCTGCCTCTCACATTAGTGCCTGTATGACCTTTGGAAAGTCATTTAACATCTCTAGGCCTCAGTTTCCTCATATTTAATTAGGCAGTTTCTGAGATCCCTTCAAATTTGACATAACATGACCCTATGAGCCTAAAAAAGACTAGCAATAGTTAAAAATAGCTAACATTTATATAATTTCTAGAAACACACATATGTGTATTTATCCATAGAGAAATATATATATGCATATACATATATATATAAAATCTATCTGCCAAGCACTTTACAAATATCTCATTTAATCCTCAAAATAATAAGAAGTAAATGCTAATCCCCATTTTACAGATGAGGAAACTGAGGAAGAGTCAACTTGCCCCAGGTCATATAGACAACACAGGTAGTTAGTGTCTGAGGCAGGATTCAAACTCAGTTGTTCCTGACTCTAAGAAAGACCCGTGCTCTATCCACTGGGCCACCTATCTGCCTCTATCTCACAGAATACTTTAGAGGAGGTGAAGGGGGATTTCTATTTTCTATACTGGAAATGGGACTGATTAGTATTACATGGCCAAATACTGGAGAAGCACATAGAGGACCAAGACAAATGAGGCAATAGGCTGGTTAGTGCTGAGTGCTAAGAGGCTTTGTGTGTGTACTGTCTGGAAATTGTTGTTGCAGTATTATAGTCCTTAGTAAGAAGCCTCTGAGGAACACATGAATTAAAGAGGCAAAAGCCTTCCTTTCCTTTCCTTTTATCCTTAAAGTTAATTCATTTCAACATGCTTTCAAGTTGGACCTTATTGGAATGCAGCCCTATTTTTTTAGGCATTATTATAATTCCTTCTTGGGAAACCAGAACAAACTAGACTGGACTGGACTAGGAAGGACCTTCTGTCTCATGTGTTTTTCTCCCTTTCCAGACTTATTTCCTTTTCTCCTTCCACAGAGCTCACTCTATTCACCCTGGTCTGGTTGTTCTACAAACAAGACACTCCATCTCTTGGCTCCAAGCATTTTCTCTGGCTGCCCCCTATGCCTGGAATGCTCTCCCTCCTTCACTCTACAGATTTCCCTGACTTCTTTTAAGTCCCAATGAAAATCCCAGCTCCTGGGAAGCTTTTCCCAACCCCTCTTAATTCCAATGCCTTCCCTCTGTTAATTATCTCTTATTTATCCTGTACATAGCTGGCTTTGTATCTATTTGTTTGCATGTTGTCTCCCCCGTTAGACTGTAAACTCCTTGAGGGCAGGGACTGGCTTTTGCCATTTTTTGTATCCCCAGGGCTTGGCACAGTGCCTGACACACAAGTACTTAATACATGTTTATTAATTGATTGCTTAGATGTATCAAGTAGTGCTAAAGTCAGGACTTAGATTACAACAACCCTGTGAGGAAACTGACTGAGAGGTTAGTTAAATGACTTGCCCAGGGGCACATAGTCTGCTCTCTGTAGTGACACTGAGAATACAGATACAAAAGAAGAGGTCTCCACCTGGAGCTTTATTTTACAGTCTTTATGTAAATTGGATTATATGCATTTCTAATCCTATTGGGGTTTTTTTTTAATTGTTGAAGCTGCTTTTATTTTTCTTTTAGAAGATTCTTGAAACTGACTCAAATGATCTATGTATAAGTATGTCTGTTTCTGAGGCATTACAACATTTGTTCTGACTTGTCACTGGATCTAAAATCCAAATTTCAGATCTCTCCAAGACAGCCTACACCTCTGATGGGATTTTTGTCAAGGGGTCACAAAGGTATAACTGAATGATCACTAATAGATGGGGGCACAGCCTACCAGGGGCTGGGCCTTCTCTCCTGGGTCTAAACCTTGAAACCCAGGCTGATAACCTGTTGATGTAGGGCAGGATGGTGAAGACAATGGACCTGGGTACAGTACTTGGGTACCAATGCCAGCTTTGTAATGACTAATTACATGAGAATTTGGAGGAGTCATTTCTCTCTGGGCCTACATTTTCTAATTCGTAAAATAAAAGGTTTAGATTAGATGATCTCTAAGATTTCTTCTAGGGGCAGCTAGATGGAGCAGTGGATAGAGCACTGGCCCTGAAGTCAGGAGGACCTGAGTTCAAATCCGGCCTCAGACCACACACTTGACACTTACTAGCTGTGTGACCCTGGGCAAGTCACTTAACCCCGATTTCCTAAAAAAGCAAAAACAAACAAACAAACAAAAAAAAAAACAAAGACAAAAAAAGATTTCTTCTAGCTCCAACATCGTACGATTTCACTTTGCCCTTTGTCATACCCCCATATGACCATGTAAGGAAGAATACAAGAGGGTGTGGATGGTGGGGAACAGGGCTGGGGTCGGCTAGGTGAAGCCTCTCTCCTTTCAATTCCTGGGATTTAGCTCAGTACCCTCTTGTGCTGGAGGGAAGGAATAGAGATGTAGTGCTTTAATTCATCCAGGGATTTACAATTCGAACCCATAAGCTCTATTCATTGTTTCTGTTGGCTAAAATAAAAAGAGCCATTTTCATTAGTCCCCAAACTTTATAAGCCAGAGAAGGGGGTTTGGCTTTGAAGAAATGAAAAAACTTTAAGGTGCTCTCACGAAGTATTATAAGGCAGCATG